AGTTACTATTGACTTTTTTCTTCGCATTATACTTGTCTTTCTTCCTTGTCTTTTATTACATTTCTCAATACTATAGCTGACGCATAATCCCATCATAGGAGGTGACAAATTATGATTGTTGAGATGAATGCACTTCAAAGCAGTGACACCCGAGAATTGGTTCCTCTTCCTCTTGGAAAGCCCACTGTTGGTTTTTGTTGGATTTTAACTATTAAGGTTGTGCTTGATGGCCTGATTGACCACCTTAAGGCCCATTAGGTAGCTATAGGGTATAACTATTTCTTTGGCTTGGAGTATGGAGACACATTCTTAGTGGTGAAAATGGCATTTGTTCCCTTTTTTCTATCTATAGTTGTTATTCGCCTCTGGTCACTTCTTTAGGTCTGTATGGTGATATAATTGAATAAGTTTTTTATGGAGCAACAATTTGATTTTTCTACCAAGAGGGAGTCTTTTGGCATGGTTTTTCGTCTTCAAAATCCTTATATGGTTTTAAGCAATCTCCTTGTGCTTGATTTGGTTGATTTGGCATGACAAGAAGTGAAGTTGACCTCTCAGTCTTTTAGTAACATTTAACTCGAGGATTTATTTATTTGATCGTATACGTTGACAACATTGTTATCACTGGCCGTGATTGACATCATTTAGATAAAATAATATTTTGGTTATCACTTTTAGTTTTTAGACCAAAGATTTTGGCAAACTTCGATACTTATTATAAAGCTAGCATATCCATATATGCTATTGTAATTTCATTGAGGCAATATGCTACGATAATTCTTGAAGAAACCGGTTTGTTGATATTAGCTTATATTGTGTCTTTAGTATTTGGTAGGTTTACCTTTTTACCTTAGTAGTTTTTAGTATATTGTATATTTGTCATAGGGATTACACTCTTCCTTTAGGTACGGGTTTAGTTGAGTTTCAGTTACATAGTTACAACTAACTCAGCTAATGCAAAGTCACCATAGTTTTATATCACCTCATTTGCTCTTCTTCTGTCACAATTGAATACGCGGAGATATTTCTCAGATTCTCTCTTCTCTCTATTACTTTTCCTTCTCTCTTTATTATGTTTTAACTTTCTTTTTCTTTGTTTCTTTGATGGTATCAAAGCTCTCTCTAAGGGCCTAATACAAAATATTCTCCATGTCTTTCGCAACATCGCAACCATCTGATAATGCCATGGTGGAGAACGAAGCCGCAACGAAGAAAGGAGCAAGGACGGAGAATAGATCTACGACTGAAAACATATTTGTTATATAAAATAAAGTTCCTTTTCTCTTCAATTATCAAATCTCTATAAAGCTTACCACCGCAACTACTTGTTATGGAATAAGATTGTAGAGCCAGTGATCACTTCTCATTAGCTTCACCACTTCCTGGTCAATCCTAAAGTACTGCTGCATATTCTTCAGAACAAGATCGTCTAGATGGAATCGTGAACTTTGCTTGCATAGAGTGGCTTCTTCAGGATCAAATGCTATTGTCTTGGCTCTTTTCCACAATTTCAGAGAATATAGTCAATGAAATATTAGGTGTACGACATGAGCATGGGAGCAAGTGCACAAGCTTTTCCATGCTATGATGAAGTCCAAGGCGCCTCAGCTTAGATTTGAATTGGGCACCATACAAAAAGGTGTTAGGTCCATTGCTGAATATTGTAGACGAATCAAAGGCTTATGTGACAAGTTGAAAGCCATTAAGAGTCTCATTCCACTGGATGAACATATTGAGTTGATTTTGGATGGCTTGCTAGTAGGTTTCAACGCTTTTGTCACATCTGTGATAGGAAGAGAAAATCCTAATGGAATTGGTGACTTGAAAGTAGAACTCATGGGTCATTAAATGATGTTGACAAACAAAATAGGTCAGTTTTAACTGAGACTTAACTGAGACTATGTTGTTAGTGAATGTACTGATTTCTGATACCTGACAATCGAAAGAATGAACAAAACTCCAACACACAAAATCTCTACATTCCTTATAACAGTTTTGGAAGAGGTAGAGGTAGATCCTTCACTTGCGATAATCGTGAAATAAGTGATTGTATTAATGTTCAATGTCAGCTTTGCTACATGTTTTGACATGAAGTCTAAAATTGTTGGCATCATTTTGATGAAAATTTCATTCTAGTTCTTCCTACACTTGATTCTCCCCAGTATTTTGTCCCAACTAGTTCTGGCTCAAATCAAAGATTCTTCCAATATGTTAGACCTTCAGCAACTCCAGTCCTCCAGTGCAAGTTGTTCGGGGTAGTCTACCACCTCCCTCTAATACAAATGCTCTGGAGTTGTATCCTGACTCGAGAATCTCACCACGTAACTCTTGATGCACATAATCTGCATCAAAGTACTCAACTCTCAAGTGTAGATCATATCTTTGTAGGCAACTCTAAGGTCTGGAAATTACATCCTCTGGTTCTTCCTTTTTCCCTTCACCATTTAAACCACATACTAATTTATTTCCACATAATTTGTTTCCTATTCTAAGTCAATAACAAAGAATCGCACTGTAAGTTTGCTAGAGATAATGGAGTGTACTTTGGATTTCACCCTTTTACGTACAATGTTAAATCACAGGGGTTCAATGAAGTACTATTGGAGGAAACCCTGGGTTCAGATGGCATATGCCGGTCTGGTGGAGTCCAGCTATCACACATTCCAAGTTACAAAAACCTGCCTTAGTACAACTTTACTTCTGCTATTCTTAGTTGCAATTCTACTCTTTGTTTTGTTTATGATGTTTCTTCTACTGGTTCAGTCAAAGGTAGTGTAGGTGCCAATGGCAATGTAATAGGAAAACCGACTGTTTCAAATTTCTCTTACTTCCTATGGCATTGCCGCCTAGGACATTCTTATCTCAAAGTTGTATTGAGTATTTGTAAGATTTTAGTACCTAATAAAACAGAACATGATTTTTGTTTTGCTTGTTGTTTGGGAAAATCCCATAAAGTGCCTTCCTTTCCCTCCATTACAAAATATGAAAAACCCTTTGATTTGATCTATAGGGATTGTGAGGACCAATCCCTGTTAAATTGTCAATGGGGTTCACATACTATGTATCCTTTATAGATGCCCATACAAGATATACACTAATATACCCCTTGAAATTAAAATTTGAAGCCCTAATTATTTTCACTCAATTTCACACCCTTATTGGTAACCAATTTCACACTTCAATTAAAGCTCTTCAAATTGGCTGAGGTGGAGAATTTCGACCCTTTAGCCAACTCAAACAACTTGGAATTATTCACATATTAGCTTGTCACACCCATCACCAGAATGGGGTTGTCGAACATAGTCACAGACATATTGTGGAGACTGGAGTAACTCTTTTGGCACATGCTTCATTACCTACGAAATTCTGGGATCATCCTTCTTAAAAGTTGTTTACCTCATCAATTATCTTCCTACAACTGCTCTAAACTTTCAAATTCCGTTTACCAAATTGTATCATGTCTCATGATTACAATTTTCTCAAGATTTTTGGACGTGCTTATTTACCTTTCCTGTGCCCATATAATAATCACAAACTTGATTTCAAGTCCAGTGAATGTATATTCCTTGGTTATTAATCGAACCACAAAGGATATAAATGTCTTACCCCAAATGGTAGACTCTTCGTCTCGAAAGATGTGTTATTTAATGAGACAAAATTCCCTTAGCCCTCTTGGCTCAAGCTAATTCCACTAATTCCTTCCAAACCACCAACCTCAAGTCTTCCTCTGATTCTTCTCCTGTTTCCAATGACTCCTTCCAACTTAATTAATGTTTCCTCTCTCTTACTGACAATGCTGTTACTGACTCTTCTAACCCTCAAGCTCCTCTCTCAGCACCATCAAGACAAGATCTTCGACTACATTCTGAACCGGTCACTCCCACTCACTCTACTCTTCCTTCTTCTACTTCTTCTTAAACCCCAATACAACCTTCTCAATCCTCTCACTCTTTTTCTGCAACTCCTTGTACTTCCACTACTTCCTCTCCTTTAAGCTCAGTCAGAATATGTACCCTCTAGCTCTTTAAGCTCTTCCTCTCCTACCCATTCTATAACTACTAAAGCAACTCAGAGGCCTGATATTTTAATGACTTCTCTGGAACCTTGCACTATTAAGCAGGCTCTGGCTAATTCCAATTGGCTTGCTGCCATGCAAGCTGAATATGTAGCCCTTCAATCCAATGGAACCTGAAGTTTGGTTTCTCTTCCACCCAACCACAAGGCCATTGGCTGCTAATGAGACCTTGGGATGCATCACCCTAAAGCTACCTCAAAGGGTGAGAGTGCCCAAGGCCTTATAAACCCCACATTAGTTGCCCATACAACCAATGTGGGACTCCAAGTCCCATACCTTGCATTGGGAAAGTTCTCCTACCGATAGAATGTCCACTTCTATATTCATCGGGGATAATCTAGTATCTTGAAAAAGTAAAAATAAAAATTATGGTTTGCAAGATCAAATGTCGAAGCATAGTATCGAGTCATGTCCTCAACCACTTGCGCTTTTATTTGGCCAAAACAGCTGCTTGGAGACAGATAGTTTTGTAGAGGTTATGCATTTGAAACTAGCTTGTGATAATCAGGTTGCATTATATATTGTCTCCAATTCATTGTTTCACGTGAGGACTAAACACATTTAGATGGATTAGAGTGAAAAATTATCTGAAGACTTCACCAATAGCTTTGTTCACTCAATTGACTGATGCTTTCACTGGCTTTGATAAGTCCGTTAATAAGTTGCAAGTGTATTGAAGAGGAGACATACAAGGTATATGCTCCAGCTTGAAGAGGAGTGTTGGTAGTTGTAGTAACTATGGAAATAGTTTCTTGCTGAATATGTAAATAGGAAAGTCAAGAGTTATGTAGTCACGGTAATTATGATTGTAGTGATATGTGTATCTATTCTGTTTTTTATGATTTTTTTACTATATAATCCATACACTTTTGTGTAATTGAGACTCACGGTTTAATAAGAGTCTCTTGGTTCCTCCTTCATGCAGGATTTAACAAAGGAAGAGAAAACTGAGGATGTCAAAGATCTTGCTTCTGCATTTGCTGAAGCCACCAATCGTTATCAGGAAGTTGTTTTTAATCCTAATGTCTTCACTGAATTCAAACTGGCTGGAAGTCAAGAGGTGTTTCTAATCTTCTTTTTCCCTTATCTGCTCCTAACTAAATATCTTTCCTTTCTCTGTATGCATCTCTCTAATGCTATGTTTGCCTATTTAGCTCCCTGTGCTTTGTGTTGTCTGCATGAAAACATCATGGTGTCTCTTTGCATTAATATTTTTATATTGTTGTATGTTTTCATGTTCTCCAGGAAATAGCTGCTGATGAAGAAAATGTGAAAAAAGTTAGTCTATACCTTACTGATGTTGTGCTTCCAAAGTTTATACAAGACCTTTGCACACTTGAAGTTTCGCCTATGGATGGCCAGACATTAACAGAAGCACTCCATGCACATGGAATTAATGTTCGCTATATTGGCAAAGTAAGCACTGTGTATTTTGGTCTATACAGTTTTATTATATCTTTTGGGAGTTGGTCAAGTGAATTACATGCCATTTTATCGGTTAGCTGCATGTTTCTTTGCTTGTGTTTTAATAATTCTTATATTGCTTCTGATATGCCTATATTTTTGTGAAGGTGGCTGGAGGGACTAAACATCTACCTCATCTGTGGGATCTTTGTAATAGTGAGATTGTTGTCAGATCTGCTAAGCATGTTATCAAGGTGATAAAATCTATCTCACTTTAAGCTCATTTACCTGTTTTCCCCCTCTCTTATTTGGTTTTTAAAAATTTTGTAATTCATGCTGGAACATGAGCATTCCAATCCCTTTGAATCAAAGGGGATGCGAGCCAATATTTCCAGATATGTGTTCATCTATGTTTGTGTCATGGTTGTCGAATCATACGAGATCATATGAATCTCGGTTTGGTTCATGCAATTCAATCTGATTCAGATGGCAGAGGGAATCATTTTGGGGGCAGAATTGCACCTGAATCATGCTAGATTTGATCTATATTGCCAGATTTATGTTTTGTATGGGATTTGCATAATTTTGCAAAGCTGAGTTGGATCTTGAGAGACCTAATTTTGAAAATTATTTTTCAGGGTTTTGTTTTTTGCAATTCGACTCGAACCTTTAGTCTGCCTACCTCATAAAGAATAGCAACCCTAGAAAACCATATTTTAGAAAGAAAAAAAATTGCAATTTTTTAAAGAAAGTGTAGTGTCTTGTGGTTTCCCTTCGTATTAAGAAATCCAACCTTAATCCTGTGGCGTGCTTTGTTAAGAAATAGTGATATGGTGTCTTCTATATTTGGAGGGGCTGACACTATAATTTACTTTTAAATTTTTAGTACTATTATTATTAGTCTTCATCTTTTTGACTGTTACAACTTGAATCTTGATTTGTTTTGAGGTTTTTATTACAATGAGTTATTTGACTTTAAAATGTTACTATCTCGATGTTTGCAATATTTTATTATGGGAAAATATATTTTGTCCTATTTTTTAATTATTTATCATTGGTGGTAATTGTGGGTAACAATGTAAATAAGATCTAACTGATTATGTTAATAGGGTAGTCAAAATCATGTTATTACGGAAACTAGGATAGTTGTGACTTCTGCATTTATTCTGTATTTATTATATTTAGCTATATAACCTAAACTTCCTTATGTAGTTGAAATAAATAGATTTCTCCAAATGTCTCTTATTTCCTGCTTCATTAAAATGGAATCTAGAACCCTGTTTTGTGCCTACTTGTTGACCCACTGCCCACTAGTGACAATTCCCAAACCCCCCCCCCACCCCCCCCCCCCCCCGCCAAAAAAAAAAAAAACACAAAAAAAGGCATCATCCTTCTGGCCTCTTCTGTTCCCTGTTCTGCCGTTGCCATCCTCCATCAGCTGACGTCCTTTCTAGATTTGGAGTGCACTCTCTGCTCAGCTCATCCTTAAAAGGCCCATTTTAGAACGATCATCAGATGCACTGTTCTGTTTGTTTCCTTCTCCGGCGCACGCAAACACTTAGTTGCATGTGGAGACCATTTTCTTGCTTCAGCTGATGACATTGTGCTTGTCTAGGCCTTCTCCTCTTAGATATGGTGTTTTCCTCCTTGACCTGCACTCTGTTGGTGCTTGTTTAGTTTTAATCCACTCCATTGCCTAGTGCCCTTCTCTCTACATTTCTGGTCCTTTCTAGCCTTCTTTTCTACTGTCCAAAATGACCTGTGGCTGGTTCTAGTCCCTCAGAGGCTCCTGAGGATGTTTCAAAGACCGAGCCCCTGTTTTCCTGTTTTCACCAACTACGTTTGTGACTCTGTCTCCACTGACAAGTTGGAGGGGAGCAACTATGCTGTATATTCTCTCCAAATACATATATAACAAGTTTTAGTGCATATGACCTATATGCTCTAGCTTGAGAAGGAGTATTGGTAATTGTGAGTAACTGTAAAATAATATCTTGCTTATTACGTATATAGGGCAGTCAAAATCATGTATTTATGGTAATTAGTATAGTTGTGATATCTATGTTTATTTATTTATTTTTTATTTTTGGTGATATAAAGAATCAATTCAACCCAAAAGCTTAAGTTGTTGTTGGGTGAGGGACTTTTTAAACTATTCTCTAACACGTCCTCTCACACGAGAGCCCATTGGGCTTGAAGGGTGGACAATGCGTAGGCTTACCTACCTGTGTTAAGAAACTCCACAAGACTTAACTAATTATGAATTAAATGGGACGAGGTAAAAATCGAACCCGTGACACTGAGGGTCTGATACCATGGAAAGAACCAATTCAACGCCCCAAAAGCTTAAGCTTTTGAGTTGAATTGATTCTTCTTTACATGGTATCACTGGCTATATATCTAGACCCCATTGTGTTGTTGAAACACAAATTTTACCAAATATATCTCATTTCCTCCTTCCTTAAAAGTCATTATTCTTATTATTCATATTTGGAAATTGGCTTTGCAATTGAAGATTTGAATCCCTATTTGGCAACCATGTGTTGTAGTGTAACTTCTGAGTGCTTGCGAGTTTAGTTGGCTGATCCTTATTTAAAGCTCCGAACTATTCCCAAAATCTCTTTTTCGGATCAGGAAATATTATTAGTTTTTTACTTCTTGTTTGTTGTCAAAGGTGGCCTGTTATATTGTATCATGCTTTAACTGATATATGGTTTATTTTGCTTCATTTATGTGAGATATTACTTGAGCATGAGAAACATGGTATACTGTCTGATGTTGACATGTTGGATTCTACAGAGGATAAGCTATATTTTGAAAATAACTTTCTGCTTAATCCACTCGCACTGAGAACTCAAACGTGTACCATTTGCAGGACTTATTAAGAGACACAGAGGATCATGATCTTGCACCGGCATTATCTCATTTCTTGAACTGCCTATTTGGAAGTTGTCAAGCTCCTAGTGGAAAAGTAATTGCTAATAGCACACAGTCCAGGACTCCTAAAAAGGCATGTCCGGTATGGTTGACTTTCAAGATAACTGCCACTTATATTTCCTAATCTGCTCGTTCTTGTGTGCCAGTGATCCCTTGAGTTAATCTGTGAACTTTGCCTTCTCTCCTTAGGCTGTGCAAACCACATTTTGTTCTCTTGTCAAGTTTATAAGCCATAAAGTTCCAGTTAATTAGTAATCCTTTCTCTTTAATTTACAGGAACATGCAGGGTATCGGTCTCCAGGAAAGCATTCTAAAGGGCAAGCACGATGGAAAGGCAGGGCATCTTTAAGAAAGACTCAACCTTTGTATATGAATATGAGCTCTGAAGCTCTTTGGTCAGAAATTCAAGAATTTGCAATAGTCAAATACGAGGTATCAGCTATTGCCTAACCTGAATATGTGGCATTAACTGGGACACTGTGAGGTTAGGTGTTTCCAATCTGTTGCTATACATTTGAACTTCAAATCAATTTGTTGCAGTTTGAATTGCCTGAGGATGCAAGATCACGTGTTAAAAAAATTTCTGTTATACGAAATCTGTGTCAAAAGGTAAGTACAAGATCATTTACAGTTTAGTCAATTCATATTTAAATTAATTAGTGGTGTAAGTAATTTTTACTATTCTTCATGATCTGATTTTTTAATCTTTCAACAGTTCTGATGACATGAAATTTTGGGAAAGTGTTTTTATCTTTTAATTTTTGCTATCAATTCAGCTACCTTGGTGATTTTTTATATCATGTAAAATATTTCTCATTCAAATCTTGTATTTCTTGGTATATTTCAGAAAAGGATGGGGTGGTTTACACCTATCTTTTCCTTTCTGAATTTATAATACTTTATGTATTTTGAATTTTCTGACTTTGCCCATGTGTTTTGCATTGCATGTTTGCACTTTCTGTCAGTAATATTTCTTACAATTTACTGTGAGATTGTGGTATTTGTTGTTAATAGTTGTTGGAACTTTGATGTTTAATAGTGCTCTTTACCATTTCACCAATAACCACTTCAATTTTTTTGCCATTAAACTTGAGTGAGTGGATTTCATCATGCTTAAACAATGCTTGGTTGTCAGGTTGGTATAACCATCGCAGCTCGAAAATACGGTCTTAATTCTACCTCACCCTTCCAAACATCAGATGTCTTGGATCTGCGTCCGGTGGTCAAGCATTCAGTTCCAACATGTTCAGAAGCCAAGGAACTTGTGGAAACTGGAAAACTTGAATTGGCTGAGGTATTTATATTGTTTTTGACTGTAAAATGAAAATAATGAGTACATTTTTATCCAAAACAAGTGGGCTAGTGGTGAGGAGTTTGGGGGTAGTTTGCAGGAGTCATATGTACAAACCTCAGTGCTCCTATTGTAATAAAAAACAATAGAGAATGAATACACTTGTATACTGTTTGTAAACTACGTAGTTATGTTATCTGTAGCATTCTTTTTCGGATGTTCAGCTTTCAGATGTGATTTTATTTTTAGGGTGAAGTTGTGTTAAGGTTAACCAAAATCCAAATATTTTGATGCTAGTGTAGCTATCTTCTTCAGATTGCACCCTGTTGAATTGAAGTAATGATACTTCCTAAGATGGCATTCTCTTATGTGTTCAATACTGTAATATAAATTTGTAAATTAAGTAGGTTTGGTGTATGGTATTGTTTTTATTTTATTTTTTATTTTTTTCATACAGAATGTGTTAATGTGTAAATTTTTTTTTTTTTTAATGCAGGGCAGGCTCAGTGAAGCCTACACTTTATTTTCAGAGGCATTCTCAATTCTACAACAGGCATGGAATTCAGTATTTTTTTATCTATCTTGGATGATTTTCTTTTGCATAAATAATTGTTGTTAAATGGGCTGCAGGTTACTGGTCCCATGCATCGGGAGGTTGCTAATTGCTGTCGGTATGTCAATATTTATTTATATATAATGTTGGCATGATTTTAAACGTTTTTCTACTTAAATCATAGTTTTATCATGATCTGCAATTCTGCATGCTGTGCTGTTTTAGACCTGGATGGTGGAAATGAATTAACTCCGATGTAATTTTCAGTTGCTATGTGATAAGACCCTTCTCAAGACATAGTATATAGAAAGCATTATAGAGGATTACCCCTCCAGGATGACATGGCTGGTGGAGAGAATATTCTAGAGAGTAGCAATGCTGTTGTTGTTGGGAATTCAGTTAGAGGAAAGCAATTGCAAATGCTGAGGTGGATGGGTCAGCTAAGTTAGTTATAAAGGAGGGGCGAATGGGTGTGAGGAGCAAGCTGGGAATAGAGTTGGGACTTGGGAGAGACTCAGAGCACCCTCGAATTTGCTCTGAACCAACCTTTGAATTTGGATCTTTGAGTGTTTCGTGTGTCACTATACTCTTTCTTTATTTCTTCATTGTTCTGAAGTATCTCTGTAATTTTCCTTTTCCATTACTGATATAATATCGAAAATCCAGTTCTTCTGAGCCACTTTTTGGTATTTGTTGCGTTAAAACTCTGATAGCTGACCCAATTCTTATCAACTGGTATCAGAGCACTTTGATTTGGGGTGCTTTGAAAGGTTTGTTGCGCGCCATGGAATCTCGCTCGATTTAAAGCTTTGGAGGGGCGATGCCGGAGAAATGAAATTATCAATGATGAATGATTCCGTAGAACAGAACAGAGATTGACGGAGATCGAGCAACTTCTTCAGGATCGTCGCGAGAGGAGTCGACGATATGCACGTTCATGGAGGGGGTGGCAAGAGTCCTTGGATTCTGGTTGGAGGAATGAGGAAGTGATGGAGCGATTCCAATTGTTGCAGAAAAACCCACCTATCTCATCGGAGATGATGAAGGAGACGACGATGTGGAAGACGACTTTGCTGGAGAATCAAAAACAGACTTGGGCCATTGACGAGTTTGCGTTGGCCCGCGCTAATCAGTCCTTCAAAGGGGCTTCAAGTGTGTCACACGCCAGACACGTGCCTCATTTATCCAACACACCCAACACGCAAGGGGATGAAATGCTGGTCTTTGGTACAACTCTGTTAAACGACACGCGTTCAGGAATTACCACTGAGGCATTTGGAGACGCGTGAACCCTAAAAGGCACTGGAGGTAATGGGACGAAGGGTGAGGGGAGAAGACACACACAATCCGAGCTCCAAGATCGCATCCGCAGAGGAGTGTGCTTCAAGTGTGATGAAAAATGGGGCCCTAAGCATCGCCACAAGGTTGTGCAACTTCAGCTTTGGTGCGTGGACGAAGACGACGATGAGGTGGTCTACGCTGATGGTGAGAATGCTAAACCCGAAGTGGAGATTGACGAAGAAGAGGAAGCAACGAAGACTTATGGCAGTGGTGATCCCACAACTCAACCTCTCGTAGCTGAATATATGGGGTTACTGATAGAAGAAACTAATTCGTGTTGGAAGACGTTTTTGACAGTTGAATCAGATTGGGACTTGAGTGGACGCAAAGTGAGGGATATTTCTGGTTTGGATTACCCAAGTACCCCTTGTTTTAGTGGCTGGGTTCGAACCGTTGCAGGATTGGCAAAAGAAAGACTACGAATGGTTAAAGAAATATGGGAAGGAGGTTGAGAAAATTCTAGAAAGTGTTCTTTTTCGTCTGTTCATTGACGTCACAGGCCATATAAGCATCTTCGACTCAGCTTTCAAAGGAAACAAAGCCAATCAGGTAGCGAGTTTAAAGCTTCTTGTGCTGCAAATTTATGATGAAGTTAATGTAGATAAGCAATGGGACCTCGGAGGAAATCACTACGTGTTTGTCATATGTTATTGTTTACAGTTCAGGCAATGGGATCCCGGTGGAAGGTGATTAGGGGCTAAACCTCACCTTGAGGACAAGGTGAGTATTTAGGGGGGGAGTATTGATAAGACCCTTCCCAAGACAGTATAGAAAGCGTTATAGAGGATTACCCCTCAAGGATGACGTGGCTAGTGGAGAGAATATTCTAGAGAGTAGCAATGTTGTTGTTGTTGGGAATTCAGTTAGAGGGAGCAATTGCAAATGCTGAAGTGGTTGGGTCAGCTCAGTTAGTTATAAAGGAGGGGCGAATGGGTGTGAGGAGCAGGCTGGGAATAGACTAGGGACTTGGGAGAGACTCAGAGCACTCTCAAATTTGCTCTGAACCAGCCTTTGAATTCTGATCTGAGTGTTTAGTGTGTCACTGTACTCTTTCTTTATTTCTTCATTGTTCTTATTGTAAATAATAGAATTTTTGTTATTATTTTGTAATAGTTATAATACTCTATAAGTGTATTTGAGCTTAGCCCAATAGGTTTTTTAGTCCTTTAAACAAAGAACTCTTGTACAAATATTATACAGTTCAATAGTATAGAAATCTTCTTTTCTAGTTGGTATCAGAGCTCTCGATTCTGAGGGCTTTGCTTCCGCAAATCACTACCTCTAAAAACCAAACCCTTTTGCCTCTCGCCGCCACAAAGCCGCAATCGGGAAAAAAAAAAATTCCGGGGACCTTTTGGACCGTGAAGACCCCTGTTTCACTCTGTTTTCTCAGATCTATCATTCTACAGAGGTTTCTTTTTCATCAGATGACCGGAACAACTCAAGGAAAAAAAAACATTGTTCATCGCGCACTGTTCATGCGACATTGTTCATCGCGCATTGTTCACTGGTACTGTTCATCGAAAAAAAAGAGAAATTTATTTTATTCAACTTTGTTTGGTAAGATCACACACCCTACTCTCTTCTTACATCTTGCACTGATTTAAAAAATTTATGGATTATGGATTCTGGTGCAACTGATCATATGACCTGTCTAGCTGATTCTTTTCTTTCATATCACCCTACTAGTGGTATCCGTACTATAGCTGTAGTTGATGGATCCCACAAATCAGTTGTGGGTTCTGGTAACATTCAAATTCAACCTTCCTTATTTTTAAAGAATGTTCTTTATGTTCCTCAGCTCTCTACCAATCTTATCTCCACTTATAAGCTTACAATTGACATGAATTGTGCTGTCACTTTTTTTCCTACCCATTGTGTTATTCAGGATATCACCACGAGGAAGACAGTTGGAGTTGCTAAGGAGCAAGGTGGGTTGTACTATCTCATTCCAGAGCATGCTACAAGGGATACCGGGAATCAATTATTGATGAGTCATCACCCGTCTACTTCATTCTCACAAATTTGGCTTCATCACAAACGCCTGGGGCACCCGTCATTTGGCTTATTGAAGTCAATGTTTCCTTCTTTGTTTAAGGACCAGGCAATTCACTCCTTCCATTGTGATGTTTGTGAGCTTGCGAAACAATACCGCATGCCCTTTCCTTCAAGTTCAATAAAGAGCATTGAGCCTTTTACTCTTTTCCATTCAGATGTTTGGGGCCCTTCTAAAGTACATAATATTTCAGGTGCGAGGTGGTTTGTTTCTTTTATTGATAATTGCACTCGGGTGACATGGGTATTCTTGATGAAAGACAAATTAGAAGTACCATAATTGTTTATTCGATTTTATCAAATGATCGAGACATAGTTTGGTAAAAGTATTAAGAGATTAAGATCTGACAATGGTGCAGAGTATGTCAACTAGCGTCTGTCATAATTCGTTTCAGATAAGGATATGATTCATGAGCTCACATGTGTGGATACCCCTCAACAGAATGGGGTTGCTGAAAGAAAAAATCGACATTTGCTTGAAGTCACAAGAGCATTATTGTTTCAGACATCTGTATCTAACTCTTACTAGGGAGAAGCCTTATTAACTGCAGCCTATTTTATCAACTGCTTGCCTTCCAGAGTCCTTGGCCACGTAAGTCCTGTTGATCTCATGACCTTTTTTTCCCTTCTGTTCCAATTATGCAAAGTCTCCAGTCTCGTATCTTTGGACGTGTTGCCTTTGTCCATATCCATAAACAACATTGGAGTAAATTAGAGCCTAGAGCCCTTAAGTGTGTCTTCCTTGGTTATGCTCCCAACAAGAAAGGATACAAATGTTACCACCCTCCAAGTCGTTAATTCTTTGTCTCTATAGATGTTAGCTTCCATGAATCTGAGTTTTACTTTCTACACCCTCAGCTTCATGGGGAGAATAGTGTAGAAGCTTCATCCATTTTCTTCGAGTCTGAGTCTCCTTTTCTGTTACCTACATCTTCTACTTCAGTAGTTACACTACATGACAATGAGAAGGAAGACTTAATTGCTGAGGTTGAAAATTCATCTGATTCCTCATGTGATATGCCTCCTATTGATAGACAGAAAGTACGCAAAGCTAGGACACCCGAACTATTGGATCAAAGGAAGAAACAACCCACACTGCCCCACCAGCAACTGCAATCGCCTGAACTGCTGGTAAGTACTTAACACACTACTTCTTTTATTCCTGAGCCTGATATTAATTCTGATGACTTACCTATTGCTGTAAGAAAAGGGAAAAATGCCTTGTACCCAACACCCTATTTCTCATTTTGTCTCCTCTAAGAATCTTTCTATGCAGCATAGAAGTTTTATTACAACACTTGACTCCATTTCAATCCCGAAATCAGTACATGAAGCATTAAATCAAATTGGGTTCAAGCCATGCATGAGGAGATGAATACATTGGAGAAGAATAATATATGGGAAGTTGTTGGCAGGCCAAATGGAAAAAGGACAATAGGGTGCAGATGGGTGTATACTCGAAGTCCGAAGTATAATTCTAATGGGACTCTTGAGAGGTATAAAGCTCAATTGGTAGCCAAGGGATACACACAGATCTATGGCATTGATTAAGAAGAAACATTTGCTCCAATGGCCAAAATGAACACTGTAAGAGTTCTATTGTCTCTTGCTGCTCATTTTAGCTGGGATTTGAACCAATTTGATGTGAAAAATGTCTTCCTCAATGGTGAATTAGAAGAGGAGGTTTACATGGAGATTTCACCAGGATTTAACTCGACAAATGGAGATAATAAAGTTTCAGGTTAAAGATGGCGTTGTATGGTTTGAAACAATTCCCGCGTGCTTGGTTTGGAAGATTTACCAAAGTCATGCTTTCATTGGGATACAAGTAAAGCCAAGGGGATCATACACTTTTCTTTAAACATTCTCAGGAAGGTAAGACCACTATCCTTCTAGTTTATGTTGATGACATTATTATAACAGGGGATGATATAGGTGAGACTGCTGAATTTGAAGTTAAAGATCTTGGAAAACTGAGATATTTTCTTGGGATAGAAGTTGCTCATTCAAAGCAAGGAATATTTATTTGTCAAAGGAAGTATGTTATTGACCTCCTTAAAGAAGCGGGAAAACTTGGGTGTAAATCTTCCAGTACTCCGATTGAGCAGAATCACAGACTAGGAAGTGAAAATGAGAGCTCTCCAGTTGACAAAGGACAATATCAATGAATAGTGGGCAGATTGATATATCTAGCTCATACTAGACCTGATCTAGCTTATGCAGTTAGTGTTGTTAGTCAATTTATGCATGATCCGAGAGAGAAACACTTGCGAGTTGTGGACAGGATTTCCAATATCTGAAAGGCACACCAGGTAGAAGACTATTGTTCCAGAGAGGAGGAATCCTTAGAAGTTTATACAGACGCCGATTATGCTCGATCCGTGACTGACCGACGGTCTACTTCAGGCTATTGTATGTTTCTCTATGGAAATCTTATAACATGGAGAATTAAAAAGCAAAATGTGGTTGCTAGATCAAATGCAGAAGCAGAATTTTGAGCTATCGCTCAAGGTATTTGTGAGTTATTATGGCTGAAAATCATTCTAGATGATCTCAAGGTGAGATATAAAGGATCTATGAAGTTACTTTGTGATAACAAGTCAGCTATTTGTATAGCTCACAATCCAGTTCAACACAATCGAACCAAACATATTGAGATTGATTGCCACTTCATTAAAGAGAAATTAGACAGTGGACTGATCACTACTCCATATATTCTTTCTGGTCGTCAATTGGCTGATGTCTTAACCAAGGGTCTTCCTAATGATAGATTTCAAGAATTTACTACCAAGCTGGAAATGATAAATATCTATTTCTCAGCTTGAGGGGGAGTATTGTAAATAATAGAATTATTTTATTATTATTTTGTAATAGTTAGAATACTCTATAAGTGTATTTGGGCTTAGCCCATTACGTTTTTAGTCTCTTTAAATAGAGAACTCTTGTACAAATATTATACAGTTCAATAATATACAAATCTTCTTTTCTAGTGTTGTGAAGTATCTCTGTAATTCTCCTTTTCCATTACGGATATAATATGGAAAATCCAGTTCTTCTGGGCCACTTTTTGGTGTTTGTTGTGTTAAAACTCTTAATCTCTTATAGCTGATACAGCTCTTATCACTATGCCTTACAAAATTATAGATTTGTAGCCAACTTTTTCATCCTTTGTTATAAAGTCAAGCTTATCAAATTTTTATTTTATTTGTGTGTTGCATATTCAATCTCAATTGAAATTATTGAATTTCAGGTATCTTGCCATGGTTTTGTATCATGCTGGAGATATGGCTGGGGCTATTATGCAGCAACACAAGGAGCTAATTATAAATGAACGTTGTCTTGGTTTAGATCATCCTGACACTGCTCACAGGCATTCCCTATTCCATTCATCTACTGGGTTCATCTCCATAATATTTTTGGGTTATGGATTCTACATTTTTATTTGCCTAATTGTATATAGTTGCGTTTAATGTACTTATGCCAAGACAAATTTGAATGTTATCATGGCCAAAAAAGAAAAAAAACGGCACCAAGTTATTGAAAAATTGAGATGTATTTTCGAAAACTGGAATAGACCAGGAGCTGGACTGGTCAGACTTCTGAAAGTTCAAAAGCCAGTGTCAAAACTGGTTTTGAACAATTTGAATCGATCACTGTTGAACTGGTTCAACTTATTTTTTATGTTTTGAACCCTTTTTATTTTGACTTGGCTTTTTTGTTTTTCCTTTTCCTGATTGATCATTGTTATTAGAAAGAACCAATTCAACCCAAAAGCTTAAGTTGTTAGGTGAGGGTCTTTTTAATGGTTTATACTATTCTCTAATACGCCCCTTTACATGAGAGTTTACTGGGCTTGAAGGGTGAACAATATACAGGCTCACCTACTTGTGCTAAGAAACTTCACAAGACTTAATTATGAATTAAATGGGAGGCGGTGAGAATCGAACCCCGTGACACTGAGGCTCTGATAATATGTAAAGAACTAATTCAACCCAAAAGCTTAACCTGTTAGGTGAGGGCCTTTTTAATTGTTTATACTATTCTCTAACAGTTATTCTTGGCTTGGTGGTTTTATTATTTTATGGATGTAGTGCTTTTTACTTCTATACGGTGTTGGCTTATTGTATGGGAAGCAATTTGATCATATTATAGACATATTTCAGCTTTTGTGTATGATTTTACTTATATAATAAGCATATGTATATTTTAAAAAAAAATAAAAAAATTTCCTTATATAGTTATATTTATAGACTGTACAAAATCCTGGTGACTTTAAAACATTGAACGTCTCCAGTAATCCTTTCGAGGATTGGTCCATTTCACAGCATTAGGTACATGTCATAAAGTAGTATGGTCTAGAACATTTTGTGATTTGTATGTTGTTGTTGCAGTTATGGAAACATGGCTCTGTTCTACCATGGACTTAACCAGACAGAACTTGCCCTTCGCCATATGTCCCGTGCTTTGCTCTTATTAAGTTTGTCATCAGGGCCGGATCATCCTGATGTTGCAGCCACTTTTATCAATGTTGCAATGATGTATCAGGATGTAGGAAAGATGAATACAGCTCTTCGTTATCTGCAAGAAGCTTTAAAGAAGAATGAAAGGCTTCTTGGCCAGGAACATATTCAAACTGCTGTTTGTTATCATGCTCTTGCTATTGCATTTAACTGTATGGGTGCTTTCAAGCTCTCTCACCAGGTATGTATAGGTAAAGTTTGTTTCTAATAGTAATAGCAGGTGGTTGACTGATTTTGGCGTTTGGTTTGACAGCATGAAAAGAAAACATACGATATACTTGTCAAGCAACTTGGTGAAGATGATTCAAGGACAAGAGACTCAGAGAACTGGATGAACACATTTAAAATGCGTGAGCTACAGGTATCTGTACAGTTCCCTTGACACGTGGGTATTCCCGTATGGCTTCACTTACTGGAAATACTTACCTATAAATGTGTTTTTCAAGAAATTCACCGGGAGAAATTAAGAAACTATGGCAGTAAGGCAATAATCTCAGAAAATCAGGTCACAAACACTGGAGGTAGGAAAGAGGAAGAGATGAACCTGGAGTGTTTTGGAATTTGTGCTTGTATGTGTGTGTGTGTGAGAGAGGGAGAGAGAGACTGTAGAGAATGGCAATATAAAAGTTGAACAGTGGTAGATGGCAGGAGGCATAATTAATCCAGAGAGGAGTGACCTCTAGGTTAGGTGGGTTGAGGCTTTTTGTTTTCACAAAGGTCATTATGCATATTCAATGGCATTCCCATATCTGTTTTCTCTTTTTTAATTTGTGTGAATTTTCAATGACTAAAAATTTCCTTCATTCTAGTTAAGTAAGATTCACATTTCACAACTTGTTTTGGCAGATGAATGCTCAAAAACAAAAGGGTCAAGCTCTTAATGCAGCTTCGGCTCAGAAGGCCTTTGATATCTTGAAGGTATCTTATATTCCTTTGTTTTTGCATGCAACATCGTCAAATGGTATCTGTAGCTAATGCTGAGTACATTCCATGCTTGTATACTGAGAGAATAATGAGAGTAGCTCTAAAAAGTGGAGAAACACAATTGGTTTTGTTAAATTTTCAGTCCAAGCTTCTCTATTATTTCATGGTTTTTCATTTTTTGGTTTGTCATATAGTATAACTGGGTATCTGTCCACTTTATTCTAACACTCCAGAGTCGTTTAAGGTTTATACTTTAGAATTTTTACTTCCTTCAAGATAAAATGTAAAGAACCTTGGGATACACCACCCCAAAAGCTAGCTCAAAGGGTGGGAGTGCCCAAGGCCTTATAAACTCCACATTCGTTGCTCATACAACCAATGTGGGACTATATATCTCAACACGCCCCCTCACACGAGAGCCCACTGGGCTTGAAAGGTGGACAATGCACAGGCCCACTTACCTGTGCGAACAAAGAAATTCCACTTGAAAGAAAGTGAGGGGTGGCGAGGATCGAACCCGGGACACGAGGCTCTGATATCATGTAAAGAACCTTGGGATACACCATCCCAAAAGCTAGCTCGAAGGGTGGGAGTGCCCAAGGCCTTATAAACTCCACATTAGTTGCTCATACAACCAATGTGGGACTATATATCTTAACATAAAAGGACCACAGAAGCTTCCCAACATGTTTGCGATGATTGCATTTTGATCTCAGATTGGTTTCCTGAAGGATATCTTATTCTAAACTTTTTGGTTATTTCTCTGATGATGTAATTTCTACTTAAAAAATAAGGATTTTATATAATGGCAGGCACATCCTGATTTGATACATGCATTCCAAGCTGCTGCAGTTGCTGGGGGGTCTGGAAGTTCTGGTGCATCTGCAAACAAATCCCTTAATGCTGCAATAATTGGTGAGGCTCTTCCCAGAGGAAGGGGAGTTGATGAAAGGGCCGCACGCGCAGCTGCTGAAGTCAGGAAGAAGGCTGCAGCAAGGGGCCTGTTGGTACGTCCGCATGGTGTACCGGTACAAGCCTTGCCACCCCTTACCCAACTTCTGAATATTATAAATTCAGGTATGACTACAGGTGCTGTGGAGAATGGGGATGCAGATGTAGAAAAGAAGGAAGCAAGTGGCGTTCCTTCAAGTGATCCAACTGATGCTAAAACGGGCCCATCAATGGCTGTGCAAGAACATGCTCCAGTTGGATTGGGCAAGGGGTTGTCATCATTGGATGCTAAGAAACCAAAATCAAAACCAAAGGCTGGGGCTTGAAATTTTGAACGTCTAAGCTCTGCGTAATTGGCAATGGTAGGTTAATTTGAGATCATAAATTCTTTCTGAAATGGTTGGATTAAACGGGTACTCTGCTCAGCTTTTGAAGAGTGTTGAGTAACGGTTAGAAGTGATCTTTTGTTTTGTTTTGTTTTGTTTTGTTTTTTTTCTGCCCTTTCCCAGTAGGTTTGGTAGCTATATTAGACATCGAGAGAGAATGCAAGTGATTGTGAAATAAATCTAATTATTATTTTTTTCTTCTGGCTAATAACTGATAATCTTCCAGCAAGCTATATATTTCGGGATATGATAATAATAACTTTCATCATGATATGAATCCTTGTATCTATAACAACAAATTTAATCCCCTTGCCCTGTTGATTTGAGGCAAATTCAATGCATGATACTATTTGTAGAATTTTCAGCTTTTTTAGGACATTAATAAAATGTGGCAATTCTTTCTGCGAATTACTTAATGCTGAAAAGATTTTTAGAAGGGTTTGGTGCTCAAGTCTTTTAGTTCCACCTGTTATTTTTCTTAGGCTATGAGGTTATTGCTTCAAAGGAAAGGAATAATAAGTAGGTTGTCAGTAGCGGTCCATAGCACCGCTAAATTGCTACCATAGCGGGTAGCAGCGGTCGGCCGCTACAAACCGCGACGCTACGCGACATTGGCCGTAGCAGAAGCTAGCGGCGTAGCGTAGCGGCAATACTGCTACTCGCTACACCGCTACACCACTCCCATATTGGAATTTGATGGAGAATCCGGAGATGATGATGATTTTCTTCATTAGTTCACTTCTTGTACTTGACTATTTGACAATTTTATTGTTCATTTGTGTTTAGTTTTGGATCCTTCCCTTATGTTCCTTGTATTTGACATTGATTGTGGAATTATGTGTTTGATTTTGTGTGACTTCTTATGTTTGAGCATTAATACTAAAAGCAGTATTGTCTCGTTTCTTGACTGTTAGTATAATATATGTGGAATTAATACTTCACCGTAGCGGCAATACCGCTACCTGCTACACCGCTATACTATTTCCGGGGTCGGCCGCTACCGGCAGCTAACTGCTACTGACAACTATGATAATAAGATAACTGCCTAAAGTGGCATGCTTTTTGCCTTTATGACCATTGAATTACTTGAATATTTCACGTGTGACTTTCTTTGTACGAGTTTTATAGGGAAAAAAATACCAATGTTTTGATTAGTGCAAATGTTTTCTGGTCTACTTGTTTTTAGAGATTCTGAGTGTTTGAATGAATTATTTTTTACTTTTTTAAAAAATAAAAGTCAATTTGTGTATTTAGATAGCAATTTTTTTTTTTGAAAAAAAGTTAAAGTATTGTTGATTTTAGAAGACAGGGTTCTTTGCTTTTGAAAAAAGTAAAAGTCAAAAGTCAAATAATGTTTTGAAAATTCAATTGTATCTTAATTTCATCTCAAGTATTCCATGTCATATCATCACATATCTTTATATATAAAATGTCCTTATTAATTTACATTTGTTGTTAAAGTACAAATTTATGGATGACTGAATTTTGAATTATGTGATCATTGGCATTAATGATATAATTATCCTTCATTTATGTTTTTCTAACCATTACACTAATGGAGCATAAGCTCCCCATGGTTATATCTTTATATATACATCATACTTGTATTGAAAAAATGTTTGTAAATTAGAATTTCACATGTTACCGGCACAAATAACTCTATGAAAGTCTGCAGCGACAGCGCTGAAATTCATGGCCTTTTACCAAAAAAATAAAATAAACTACCAACACTCTTTGAAAAACCTTTTCAGAAAAATGGAAATAACCCTTTGTCATGAATGTTGTTACCATTTTTGTCACAAGTAATTTTTTGTTTACGAGGTATTTGGTAGGTATTAATTTGTGGAATGTTTCATCAATTTTTAATTATTCTCCTTCTACCGATTCTCCTTTTTCATTTTTTATTTATGCACTTAAAGTGCTATTGGTCATTCGATAACATGCCCCTAAAGTAGCAGTGATGAAATGATATTGGGTATTTGACAATATATATAATCTCGCTCTTGAAGTAGTGAGTGTTTTAAAAAAATTATTAGGTATTTGACAGCCTGTATCCTCTTGTTGATAAAGTTCCACATCAAAAACCCCAAGTTCCACATCCTAGAAGTGAGTAGTAACAATTATCTGTCTTGATACGTGGACATGGAGATGCACTTTTAAGGGCAAGGCCTACTTTGAATGAAAAAGATAAGGCAAACACGTTGATTTTTATCCACTGCCAAAAATATCATTATATTAGACTTGCTTATTCAAAAGCATTGCCTCGAGAAAATGCCAATTCTCTAAAAAAAAAAAAAAAAAACTCTAGCCATTTTAAAGGCTATGAGTGCACACAATGATATAACCCTTGAAAGGGTGGTAGAAAATCTTACTTGGGTTAAATCATGACTTAGGAAAGAAGTGAAACAAAGATGGCTAATGAAAGAAATGTGACTAAATAAAAAAAGCAAGAATGATGAATCTCATGCAATTGTAAATGAGGGCATGTTTTGTGTGATGTACAAGGCCTGTCAGTATAAGCTCATATTATACGTTATGACATTTTTAGTTGTTTGGTGTGACAATCGCATAGTATAAATTTATGCATCAAAATCTCTTAATACATTAAAATGATGTATAATTTAATCAGGCTAGAGGGTGAGATTATGCTTGATAAGGGGGTTGGTGTATTAGAATAATCCCTTCCCATCTTTCTCTTTCCTATTGTTAACCCTTCTTTCTACACATTTTCTTCTTATTCTTTCTTTCCCACTGTAACGCCACTTTCTTCCTCCTTTTCTTCTTCTTCTCCCTTTCTTCACCAAATATTGCATTGGTTTCTGATCTTGGCAAAATCTTCAATTCAGTTATGATCTTAGCTACATTTTATCCCAACAAACGATATTGTTCCCTTGCAGCACCAGTATAATAACCCTAGCTTATGACTTGTGAATTTACAAGCTGGTTAAGAGTTTAATTATGATAAAGATAGATTAATTAGATGAGAGATCTAATTATATGAAGTAGAGTTACTTTTGGGCAAAAATGCAATTAGTGAAAGTCTTGAGGTAAAAATACAATTATACAAAAGCTACCCTAAACTTGAAAATAATGTAGTGTGGAAACTATTAAATCACTTTGGTGAATGTTAAAATCATGTGAGGTGGTTTTGGATCATGAATTATAAGAGGATTTATGATGAGGGACTAAATGTGTAATTAGCCAAATTAGATATTTTGACCAAAAAGTCAAAGGTGATACACTTAGGTCACCTAATTTTCCCTAAGACTCTCATCTTCGTGTGGCTTTCTTCCCAAAATCGTGACCCCATTTGTGTTTAAGCTTGAAATCTATTTTGAGCATAAGTCACCAAAACACAAAGAGTTGGTCATGATTCATGAAAGTTGCTTCATATTGTCTTGTGAGCAAACCTATAAATCAAAAATCATTGAAAGGCCTTGTGTAAGGAGAAAACCCTTTGGGAAAGTGGCGCCATTTCGGTGTTGAAGAAGCTAGGAGAGATGTTTTGTTTCATGAAAGCTTGGAAAGTAATCTTGAAGCATTCTAATGGAGTTTGTGGTAAGAAATCCTTAACTTCCTTAGTGTTTCATGGAAATCCAAGTGACTTAGGTTTTCAGAACATGTTGTATGTTGTGGGATTTTGAGTATGTTATTGGACATTGGTCATGTTGGAAGAAGTATTTAGGAGATGAAATAAATGGTAAAATAATAATAATTAAATAATCATTTGGCACACTTTGGAATTTTGCCTATGAACAAGTATAAGTTTCTTGTACTACAAGTAAAGTGTGTTGGGATATTGATGGTGATTGTGTTCCTTTGATTCATTGGTCAAGTGAGTCATTGGTGATAAATCAAGCACTGGATCATCCAATGGAGTTTCACCTTGAATCTTGAAGGATTCAAGATTAGTGTAAGTCATCAAGCTTTAGTTTGATAATGTGTGTTCACTAACTAGCTATGTTTGTATATATGTGCAAGTTATAACACCTCGTAATTCTAAAACACATAATTATCTTTCAAAATATAGATTAAAGGATAAGATTAGTGAAAATCCTGAATTTCGAGTCAAAATACGAAAAAGGGTAAAACGATAAATTGCCAAACATGTAACCCTAGGAAATGAAATTTAAGTAGAAGGTCTCAAAAGGGAAAAATAACCCTGGAAATAGATTCAAAACGAAAAATTGAGTGGTTAGGCAAGTTTTTGGAAAAATGAATAGTGTTTACCGGGTAAAAATACAGCGGTACATTGCACCGAAAAGCGTGCCGAATGAATTATGAGCTCTAGATTTGGAAATAAATTATAAAGGGTATATAGGACCAGAAATTTTGATTTCTGGTGAAAATTGAATGAAATTAGTGTTTTTGGGGAAGCGTGCGCACAATGCACATAACAACTTAAAACTGTGATTTCTCCGAACGACCGGAAAATTACGGATTCATTTGACCAAGGACATCAGTGAATGTTAAAATTGGAAGTTTCTAAATAGTCTAGAAATTAATGGACGTTTAGTGGATTAAGCGGGAGATTTAAATTAATTTGAATTACGTGAGGTGGCGGGGGACCCACCCCTCTTAAGTGGACAAAGCCACATGTGCACAATCACTATTCACCTTCTCCTTCTCTCCTCCTACAACCCGCGGCCTCCCTTCTTCTGTGTGCAAGATTTTGCTTTGATTTTTCCTCCATCAAAACTCCACCAAAATCAATGTTCCACTACATCAAACTTTAAGTAAATGACATTCTAAACACAACCATGGTAGTCTCAAGGCATGAAACTCACTAGTTTGGGATAAATCATTGACCCATGTCCGTGGTTTTGGTGAAGAACCTTGGTGTTCTTGGAGTTGTTTGATCCTCCATTGCTTGGGTATTGTGTGGAGGAGCCTAGGTCTTGATTGTGGGTAAGTTTCAACACATTTCATTGGTTGAATTGTTGGATTTGAATTATGAACCCTAAAGCATCCTTGTATGGATTGATATGGTTGAGGACCTCAAATTAAAAATGTGTATTAGATAAAAATGTCTTAGAGTGATGTTTTACGATGATTGAACTCATAAAAATTATTGGTGAAAAGTTTGGTAACTTAGGCAATTTTATTATGGAAATGCAAGACTTTGTGTATGGATGTTGTTGTGTAATTGAGTTATGGAGTAGTTGAATGAGTTAATTATAGGATTGTATGATATGTGGAATTGTGGATTTGAGTTGGAAAACCTTTGGTACACATGCATGAACATTTCGACCATGTAGGGAGAATAAGGAAGAATGATTAAAAAATCATGTAATTGATGTTGTGTGGTGGTGAACGATGTTTAA